CACCAGCATTAAAAAGCCTATCGGACGTGGTGCTTAGAAGACCAGGCTCTGGAGTTAAAAGCCTAGGATTCTGCCTTGGCCCCACCTCTTACTAGTGTGGCAGGGACTGAGTATGAGCTTAGCTATACCCCAGATTTGGCATTAGGGGTCATGGCTGGAAACAAGAGACCTTCAATACTCCATGTTCAAGGAAGACCCACAAACATCTGGGCACAGATACAGACACACAGGCACACACACGGCCTGGTTCTCAGCAGAAGCGGCCCTACCACTAGTCACCTCTCCAGCCTGTAGAAAAAGGTGGAGGGGGAGGTGGGAGAGAAGGAGCTGCTGGCTTGCTGGTGGGGGAGCAGTGTGCATGGTGGGAGGTGACTGCCTCCCCCGGACCAGTGTGGAGGAAGCTCCAGGGGAGTTGCTCACAGGGATTTAAAAGAAGGGAGCCTGGCCTCTGACTCCCTGAACAGATGCTTGCTGAGCTGGGAGCCCCTAGACCCCCCTGCTGTAGACGTAGAGTACCATGGATTGTGGAGGGGCATTGCTGGGGTGTCCGGCATGTGTCCTGGAGGTCTAAGGGCTCCAGGAACTGGGAATGGGGTGCTGTTCTCCCCTGGGAGTTCTGCAGATGGGAGGACCCCTGGAGCAGGGAGTGAAAGGGACTGGGGTGGTGTGGCTGGGAGAAGTAGGGGGTATCCCAGCCCTGTCACCGTGTGGCTGAGAGAGAGTGAAAAGGGACCTCAGCAGTTCTCGTGGCTTCATGAGAAAGGGCATGGAGACCAGGAGAGGGGACCCAAGTCGTGCCGCTGCCCCACCTGAAGAATGGATTAGGCAGCTGCAGCAGGGGAGCCAGCATGAAGTGGAACCGCCCATGCAGAGACGCAGAGTCACCAACCAAGGCAGAGCCAGAGCCAGACCCCACAGCAAACAGAAGAGAGCTGCAAAAGACAGCCAGCCCCACCCCTCGCCCTGCCCCTCTGCTACCAGCCCTGGAAGAGCCAAGCCAGAAGACAAGGGGAGAGATTGAGACGCTGGGTCCCCTTGACACCAGGCCTCTGAGGCTCTTAAACTGATTTAAATTTGAAGTGAGATTAAAGTTTTAATAATCTTTACGGAAGCAGACTGCCACATCGTTCTTCCATGGAGTGACCGGTGGGTTCAAAACTGCTGACCTTTCAGTTAGCAGCTGAGCGCCACTGGGGTGGGAAAAGACACTTACCCTAATAGGGTTTTAAAACAGTGATCTGAGGCAAAAGGAAGCCAATTAGCAGAGGTTACCCTAAGATGAAGATGCCCTGGTGGCACAATGGTTAAGCACTCGGCAGCTAACTGAAAGGTTGGTGGTTTGAACCCACCAGCGGCTCTGTAGTAGAAAAGACCTGGTGATCTGCTTCCGTAAAGGTGACAACCTGGGACACCCTATGGGGCAGTTCTCCTCTATCCCATAGGGTCACTATGAGTGGGAATCAACTTGATAGCACACAACGACATGCTAAGAGGATGGTGGCAGTGATGGTTCAGTGGCAGAATTCTCACCTTCCATGCAGGAGACCCAGGTTCGATTCCTGGCCAATGCGCCTCATACGCAGCCACTACAACATCTGTCACCGGAGGTTTGCATGCTGCGATGATGCTGAACAGGTTTCAGTGGACCCCTTCCACTTCTAGACGTTAGCCACGCTGCCCCCCTCCTCTACGTCCAGTGCTTTTCGTCCTCCTCACCTCTCCTCCCAGCCTGCAAATCCGCCTCTTTTCTGAGCCCTCTCAGCTGTTTTCTCCCAAGTGGCACTTCTTGCAAACACTTAAATATACACTCCCTTACATCCCTTAAATCATTATTTAACTGTGCCATATGTAAACTTTGTATCTCCTCAACTTGACTTTTAAGCTCTTGGAGAACAAGGTGTTACATTTTAGAGAAGGGTATATTTTTGCATGGTTGTTGTTATTAGGTTCCTAGTTGGTTCCAATTCATAGCCACCCTATGTACAACAGAACAAAACACCGCCTGGTCCTGAGCCATCCTCACAGTTGTTATGCTTGAGCCCACTGCTGCAGCCATTGTGTCAATCCATCTACTCTCATTGAGAGTCTTTCTCTTTTTCACTGATCCTCCACTTTACCAAGCATGATGTCCTTCTCCAAGGACTCGTCCCTCCTGATAACATGTCCAAAGTATATGAGATGAAATCTCGCCATCCTTGCTTCTAAGGAGCATTCTGGCTGTATTTCTTCCAAAAAAGATTTGTTCATTCATCTGGCAGTCCATGGTATATTCAATATTCTTCACCAACACCATAATTCAAAGGCATCAATTCTTCTTCGGTCTTCTTTATTCATTGTCCAGCTTTAGCACGCATACGAGGTGACTGAAAACACCATGGCTTGAGTAGGTATACCTTTGTCCTTAAAGTGACATCTTTGCTTTTTAACACTTTGAAGAGGTTTTTTGCAGCAGATTTACCCAATGCAATGAATGCCTCATTTGATTTTTTTTCCACAGTAAGAGGCCACAAATGCTATAAAAGATAAGCCTACCACTCAGATGTCACAGATGTGGGTGTGAATCCTGGCTCCACCATGCACTGACAGTGTGACCCTGCACAGGTCATTTAACCTCTCTGAGCCTCAGTTTCCTCCTCTGTAAAATGAGGATACTATCAGTACTTTCCTCAGAGACTGGATGTAAAGAATATTCCAATAAGACCAGCTGCTTAGAACTGTGCCTAGCAAAGAGTACATGCTTCTTAATTGCTAGCTGCCACCGCTTCCCCTACAAAATCTGGTTTACTTGCTCTGAAAAGGAGCCCAGGCATCCATAAGTGTAAAGCTCCCCTGGTGATTCCAATGTGCAGCCAAGGTTGAGCACCCTGACTAAGAGAATGAGTGTGTGGGGGGAGAAGAGGGAGCAGAGTCAGAGCTGGGAGTCAAAGGGCCCACCCCTTCATAGCTCCCCAGAAGTACAAGACTATTTGTCAGGAAGCCAGAAAAATGACTTTGCTCTGCCTGGGTCCAAGATGCCAGCGCCTCGGTGCCACCTTCTCCTGTCAGCCTTCTTGTCCCCTCAGGAGAAACACCCCTGGCTGTAGGGCCCCAGACCTGGGAGATATAAAGGAGGTAGGGCCATAACTTTGGGTCTCTGAGCCTAGAGTGGCCCTGTCTGCCCAGTCACTCTTTCCCTTGCTCAGCATTTACTCACCAACCAGCAGATGGTGCAGAAAATGTGCAGCCCTGGCCCTAATCCAGCTTCAAGTTCAATATTTGCACGTGATTAGAGAGCAAGGGCCACTCCCTCGGTTTTCCTTTTCTTCCCAAAAAGGGACAATATTAAAGACCTCAGTGTGCGATGTGACCCTTGTCAAAGTTCTTAAAGCAGCATCAGTTTACCTAACTTTTGTATCTTGCCAGAACCACCCCTTGCATTCTAATTAAAATGCCAGAGTGTCTGCACAGGAGCTGACTGCCAAAACTGGTTTGGGGGTTTAAAAGTAGTATTTGGACAGACATTATGCATTACTCGTGGACTGGAAAATATGCTGAAACCTGGACTTACAAGAAGCTTCTGAGGGTCATGCCATTTTGATAAGACTTTAATAATGTAATAATATTACAAATGCTATTTTTCCTAGCCCACAGCATTGCCTCCAAACTTTTGTTCAGTGGCTCTCACTACATCAAGGTAATCCCTTTTTTTTTTAAAAAAATCAATGAATGACTTTCTTTTCAGAAACAGAGATGCAGTTAAAAGGAACCCTGGTGGCACAGTGGTTAAGCAGCTTGGCTGCTAACCAAAAGGTCCATGGTTCAAACCCACCAGCCGCTGCCAAGGGAGAAAGATGTGGCCATCTGCTTCCGTAAAGATTTACAGCTTTGGAAACCCTATGGGGGCAGTTCTACTCTGTCCGATACGGTCGCTATGAGTTGGAATCAACTCGACAGCAGTGAGTTTGGTTTTTGGTTTTTAAAAGGACTAGGGAAAACCTGTCTGCACCGGGACTCTGCCCATTAGACACTTCTTAAATTACCCACAGCCAGAGACACAGCTGGCACATTTCCCTCGGGTAAAGTCCTAGTGAAAATAGACATTTCCGTGCTTGCAAAGCCAGTGGAATCAGAGATGATGACGATGATTTTAAGACTGAGCTATTAAACCTTTGTGTAAGTCTTCATGCAGTATTTGCAAAGTGCTTTAGTTACTGTACTTTCATTAAGTCAACCATCACTTAAAAAGCAGCAACCAAGTCATCTGCATGTTCTACCTATTGGCTTATTAACAATACGCCTCATAAAACAACTCTTGTGTGCCTATAAAAGAGCCCCAGTGAACTTTTACGGGTTTTTCTCTGGGCCTCTCAGATGAGCTCAGACAGTGAGCCCGGCTCCCCTTGCTGCAGCCAGAAGCTGGGTGTTACCCCAGACAGCTGTTTAGCAATCCTGTGGAATGATTTACTAAATCGCAGCTCAGTAGGGCTGCTAAGCCCAGGGTACAAACTATCTCATCAAAACCATGCCGGTCCCAACCTGCCATCATTCAAAAAAGCCAGAGGCGGCCCAAATGTGAAGGCTAAAGTGCACACGACCTTTCCAGGTTGGGGTTACTAGGTGCTTTGGAATGAGGGGATGGACGGGGAATTTTCGAGCTCAGGCTTCCCCGGTGGGCACCTTCCATCGATGCCAATTCTGATGTGTGTGCAAGAAGATGCTGAAGTTGTCGGCATGTGTGCTGTTGCGCCCAGTGCACAACGGTTGAGCTGAGCAAAGGGCACTGACTGACGGTGGCCTCCAGCCCTCACTGTTCTTCCCCGTCGCCTCTTTTGGGAATGGGAGGGGTGGGAGGGGGTTACCTGAGAGAAAGGTCTGCCACAGGCAGGGCTCAGCCAACCCCAGAACCAGCGCCTTTTCCCACCCCCGCGGCTCCATATCCACTGTGTCGGGCGCTGGTAACCCTGCCAGGTGAGCCCCCTCTAGGTGCCTCCCGCCCACCGGGGCTGCTTCCTGCGACTCACCTGCGTGAAGTACAAGTTCATCAGCGTCAGGGTGAAAAACTGGAGGCACACGGGGAAGCAGTAGAGCAGCCAGAAAACGAAGGGGCTGAGCGAATTGGCCGCCACGAAGTCTTTGAAGTAGAAAGAAAAGAGGACGGTCCGCAGGGAGGCCCAGAAGAGGCAGAGGAAGAGGAAGACGCTCTGGTAGCTGAGCCGCTTGTGACGGTAGCGCAGCACCAGCCAGAGCTGCACGTAGATGAACAAGAAGAGCAGCGAGTAGAACACGGTGTAGACGATGGTGAGGCCGAGCTTCACGTAGGGGGGCACGGCCGGGGTCAGCGTGGGCGGCAGCGAGTCATTGCGCAGGGGGTCCCAACGCGGGCCCGCCATCGGGGCTCGGGGTGCCGGGCGCTGCGACGCGGCCAGGGGCGCACTGGCCTCATCGGGCCTAGCGGCCACCTCCGCCCCCGGAGGGGTCTCCGCGCATCGCTCTGCGCCGGGAGCCAAGAGACTGAAGTGAAGAAAACAAGCCGCACTTCCTCCCGCCGCACCACATGATTCACTGGGACGGTCTTTGTCTGCGATTGGTAGCGCCGCGCCCGCCGCCCCCGCGCGCCCGGCAGCCCCGCGCCGTCCGACCCCGCGCACTGCCCCGCGCGCCCCCGCCCGGAACGCCACCCCGACTCCGCGCCGCTGGTCGGCGCGCCGCGGCCCACGGTCCGCTGCTGCTCGTAGACTAGTGCTCCAGGCACCGCGCTTTCTGTTGCTGATTACTTGTTTTGCAGGAGTTGTTTTATTTAAAAACATAAACTTTGCAAGTCTTTTTTAATTTTTATTTTAAAAATAAAACGTTACCAGTATGTGGCTATGAAGTGCCCGGTGTTTTTCCTTGGAAATTTCATGCCGGGGTGATGTTTATTTCCAGAAACGCCAGAGACATGATTTGTGCTTTTGAGGTCAACTTTGTATAATCGTAGTGAAGAAACGAAGGTCCTGGGCTGCTGCCTCCATCTCGGGTCTCTGCAGAGATGGTTTCTCCCAGAGGCTCAGAGAAGGCGCCTGGCAGGCACACTGCCTCCTCCCTGGGCTGGCCTCGCCGCTCGCCCCCCGCCCGCCCGCAAGCCGGCAGGTAAGCAGATGAAGCCGAGAGGACGTGTGACGACCTGCTGTACACAGCCTTCCATTCCCCAGGGCCCCTAAGATGGTTTGCCCCGGCTCAACAAGCCTCCTCATTTGCTATTGCTGAGCGGGCCGCTCCTCTGAGGCGGTAAAGTTGATGCAGTTCACACCGACGACACCTGGTTAGCATTAATCCCTGGGATTCTGGGAGCTGTCTTCTGGGCAGTGTTCTAGCCAGGCTGCCTTCAGGAAGCAAGTCTAGGCAAGCAATTCAGATAAACAGAAGAAAGACCGGAATTTCCAAAGCTCCAGTAATTTGTTGTGATTTTTTCTCATCGTAAATCAATACTCAACTGGGTGGCTAATCGCGCGTCCTTTTTCTTAGAGCGAGTCACACGAACTGTATAAGCTTCAGGCCCCCACAGAGCCCGGGTCCATCCTTGCTTTTCCTCGGAATTATTGAGTGTTTGTAGTCAGTTGCCGTCGAGTTGGCTGGGCCTGATGGCGACCTTATGTATAACAGAACGCAATGTTGCTAGGTCCTGTGCGCCATCGTCATGATCTTTGGTTTGTTGGAACCCATTGTTGAGCTATCTTGTCTATCCACCACATTGAAGGTTTCCCTGTTTTTCACCGACTCTCTATTTTGCCAAACATGATGTCCTTTTCTAGCGATTAATGTATACACGTTCCTGGTGCTTCATTAGGGCCAAGTGTACCTTTTGGTGTCAAGCTCTTTTCCTCTTTCCCTTTCACTATTTAAAACTCTTTCAAGACCCAATTATTTTCTGCTTTGCATTTTTTGTTGATACCATGTGTTTTCATTAATGGAATGCATACTGAATCACTGAGTGTGTTTGAATTTTTGAAAGGTACTATGGATTTTTTTCTTTCCTCATGACACCAATCCTACCCTCAGAGTCCAGAGGGACATATATGCCCCACTAATTCTACCCCCTCCCAGAGTCCAGTGGGACATGTGTGTCCCAAAAACTTTTTATCAAAATCTGTATTTTTCATACCAAAAACATTGATTCAGCACCACCTCATATAATACCCTGTAAAAACAGTAATTTGCAGCGCATGCCCATTTTTCCATTTCAAACTGTTATAAAGGTCTATGCCTGTGTGCAGCACAGAGTATCTGTGGAAGAGTACCTTCCCAATAAACCCCCAGAGGTGAAAAAAGTATATGGTACCTCTATGTACCATGGGTGACGAAAGGGTTTTAAAGAGAAAATTTGTGTATGGAACCAGTCTCTCTCCCTGCCTCTGATCCTGTCCGCGTCAGTCCACCTTTCATAAAGCAGCTGGAATGATCTTTCTAAAAAATAAATCTGAATAAGTGCTACTCCCCTGCTACTCCCTTCACATGCTTCTCCATGTTCTGAGGATGAAGTCCAAACTCCTACCCTAGCTTACCTCCCTGACTTCACCTCTTAGCACGCCCATTTCAAAGACATTCTTCCTTATATGGACAAGTCTCAGAACAAACTCAGACACCTGACTCCTAGGTAAAAGAAAGGTCTTTCCACTCTTTCCTCCAACCACTGACCAAATCCTATTCATCTGTAAGGGTGTTACTTCCTCCCAGACCACATCAACTCAGGATGAGGTTAGGTGCTCCACCTGTGTGCTTCTGCAGCATAGCTGTCAATCGCCCTCTCTTGCTTATAAGTTTCCTTAAGATAGAAACTATGACTTGTTTACCAATGTTTCCCTTGTGCTTGCCTTGCACATTCAAAAAATATCTGTCCATGGTCTGTCACCACCACCTCTGTCAGTTCGTCATACTGTAGTGGCTTGCATGTTGCTATGATGCTGGAAGCTATGCCACTGGTATTTCAAATATCAGTAGGGTCCCCCATGGTGGATAGGTTTCAGTGGGGCTTCCAGACTAAGACAGACTTAGGAAGAAAGGCCTGGTGATCTACTTCTGAATATTAGTCCATGAAAACCTTATGGATCACAACAGAATATTTTCCAACTCACTTGCTTTGGGTGTGTCATCAGGAGGGATCAATCACTAGAGGAGGACATCATGTTTGGTGAAGTGGAGGGCCAGTGAGGATGAAGGAGACCCTCAGTGAGATGGATTGGCACAATAGCCACAGCAATGGTGTCTTAGTTATCTAGTGCTGTTATAACGGAAGTACCACAAGTGGGTGGCTTTAACAAACAGAAATGTATTTTCTCGCAGTTTAGGAAGCTAAAAGTCCGAATTCAGGGCACTAACTCTAGGGGAAGGCTCTTTCTCTCTGTCCATTCTGGGAAAAGTTCCTTGTCTCTTTTCAGCTTCTATTCCTAGGTTCCATGGTGATCATGTAGCATGTATCTTTCCCTCCATTTGTGTTTGCTTGCTTGCTTAATCTGCTCTTTTATATCTCAAAAGAGATTGATTTAAGACGCACCCTACATTAATACTGCATTATTAGCATAACAAAGAAAACCCATCCCCAAATGGGATTATAACCACAGGTAGACCCAAAACCCCATTGCCATCAAGTCAATTCCAACGCATAGCAACCCTATAGGACAGAGTAGAGCTGCCTTATGTAGGAGTGGCTGGTAGATTTGAGCTGACGACCTTTTGGTTAGCAGCCAAGCTCTTAGCTACTGCATCACCAGAGCTCCAACCATGGGTATAGGGGTTAGGATTTACAACACATATTTTGGGGGGACATAATCCAATCCATAACGGATGGATTTGAACATGCCAGGAATCACAAGGATGACGTGGGACCAGATAATGTTTCATTGTGCTGTATGTAAGGACGTGATGAGTTGGAGTTGACTTGATGTGATCTATCTATCTATCTATCATCTATCTATCTATGTTTCATTCCACTGAAAGAGTATACTTTGTCATTAGAGGCCCAAGCTCTGATATTTTTCCTCCATCATGCATGCATCCATTCACAAGACTACCTCAGGATCCAAGTTGGCTGCTAGCTCTCTAACCATCACATCCACATTCCAGACTGGCATCAGGAGGAAAAGGGAGACTAAAAGATACACAGAGCCCTGGTGGTGCAGTGGTTAAGAACTCAGGCTGCTAACCAAAAGGTCAGCAGTTTGAATCCACTAGCCACTACTTGGAAACCCTATGGGACAGTTCTACTCTGTCCTGTAGGGTCACTATGAGTCAGAATCAGCTTGATGGCAATGGTTTTTAAAGGATACTTGTCCTCTCCTGCTTATGGAGCCTTCTCAGAAATACCACACAATGCTTTCACTTTCATCTTAGTCTAAGTTAGTCAATATTTAGTTACCTTAATAACCTAATACAAAAGAGATTGGGAAATGTAGTCTTTATTCTATATTGCAATGTACACAGCTAAACATGTTATTAAAAATGAAGGGGAAAATGGATTTGGAGGGGAATTATCAGTCTTTTTTACCACATCTCCAAAGCAACCAAGAAGAATGCTAAATGTCTACGACAGTCCATCCCTTTGACTAGCGGTTGCTGTCAACTTGACTCCAATTCATGGAAACTCCGTCTATGTCTGAGTAGAACCATGCTCCATAGGGTTTCCAATGGTTGGTTTTTCAGAAGTATATTGCTAGGCCTTTCTTTGGAGACACCTCTGGGTGGACTTGAACCTCCACCCTTTCAGTTAGCAGACAAGTGTGTTGACCATCTGTGCCACCCAGGGACTCCTCCGTTTGACCATCCAGTACCAAATATGCTTCTTGCCCTTCTTAAAAATCTGGGTAAATAAATAAATAAGTGAATGAATGAATGAATGAGTACGTTCTCAGTTAATATAATACAACATCCCTTGTACAATTGAAAATTTCACTTACTCCTTTCCTCAAAGGGATAAAACTAAAAGATGATCATTTACAGTGTCCAGCTCCAAGTCCAGGATCTCTGGGTGATATCCATTCCTCTTTTAATTCTGACACAATCCCGTCTCAATATTCTGTATCTGATTAATTAAATTATTAAAATTTCTATCACTAATTTTTTCTACATAAAATAATAGAGGAAAGTAATTAAAAGAAGAGAACAAGTAGTTAAAATAGATACAAGTGTACATATGACACAGCAAGGAAGAAAATATAAGTCGAAGTCAGAGTTCTTGTTTCTGCAGTGGGTCACAAGGCTGTAGTAATTTATGATTCCTCTCCTCACTGCACATTACAGATTCCCTTTAACCTTTATCAAACATCTCAGCTAGTCAGGGGTAAACCAAGTGTTCTTTTCTGAGAGATCTGAGTTTGTTAATTTTTACCACTGAAACTGCCAGAACCAAGGAGCACCACTCTGGCTGGATTCTGTCCATTCTCTCCTTGTGGCAGCAACCGTATTTCCCCTGACTGTCAATGTGATCACAATCAACTCTATAAGTGCAATTGCACTCAGTGGCATGAGGAGCCTGGAATAGCTAAGGTCTCAAATT